AAGCTTTATATACTCTATAAATCTAACCCCAAAACCCCAAAACCCCATGAGTAATAATTGAAGTAATTTTACTTACAATTGAATTCTGAAATATACTTGTTTATTCAGATAAAGTTTGAGAAGGATATGCTAATTTAGAGTTAGATTTATAGAGTATATAAAGCTTTGATTTTGTTTAATTTTTATGAAAATTAAAATTAGGTAATATTAGAGTTTAGATTTACAGGTCTTTCGACACTATACAATGCGGTTATGTATACTTTAAATTAGAGAAAAAGGTCAAGAGTATTCTTAGTACTATATGGTTGGCAGTATCATTGGTATTGTTGATCTTTGTTAATAACAAAGACACTTTGAAGTGGCTTGGTAATGTTTTTGCCTTGCTTGTCGAGGACTTGGAAGATTTCATTGGGGTAGTATAGTCTTTTGACTTTGCCTTCCTCAATGACTTTCTTCTTTTGGTCCCAGTGCCATTTGTAGACTTGACTAGCCTTCAATCCAGTTCTCTTGGCGAGATCCTTCATGAATGGTCTGGTCCAGTTGCTTTCCTTATTGTACTCATTTTGGAGGATTTGAACTTGTTGCTTGTTCTTTCTTCTTTTGTTTTCCTCCTCTGAGTTTCCTGATTTCTCATTAGATTCTTCATTGCTTGATTCATTGTTAACCTTTTTGAGAATTAGAGGACCTGATTATTTCTGATTTTTCTTGATTCTGAGTCTTTTTTATCCTTATGGCTGGTCAATTGACTCTAAGTCCTTCATGAGTTTTATGAGCTTTTAGTCGTTGTTAAGGATTTCATCGAGGTCCATGTTGTTTGCACTGATGACATACTTAGACTCTGAGCTGGAGTTGTTAGTTTGACTGGTCTTTAGAGAGTCGTGTGTTGATTCATCATTGTTGTAGAAAAGGTCCACTGGCTCTTGGAAATAGAAAGGCATAAGCATATCACAGTGGTTGAAGTTACCACTCATAGAACTATTTCTATCAGTGGATAGTCTGTTGATTAGTACTGGTTGCATGTAGGATTTGGTGTTTAGGAGTTGCTCTGCAATGTCTTCGCCACATTGGTTGCTTCCTTGCTTGTTTAGTGAAGGTCTGAAGCCTTGGGAGGCAGCAAATATACTGTCAATGTTTGAGTTTCTATTGGGTCCAGTTTCTGGCTTCTCAACGCTGTTTCTGCCGAGGAAGTAGTCACCATAGTTCATGGCGAGTCCAGAGCTGAATGAACAGTCGCTGTTTCTGTAGTTTGTGCCGACTAAGTCATAGCTGTTTGTGTGTCTGTGAGTATACATTTGCTTTTAAGTTGTTTTTTGGGAGGGGTTTGAAGTTTTGTTTTAGTTATTTCATTATAATATCCATTGTTTATATACGAGATTAATTGCAATAAAAATGTTAGTTAAAGTTAAATTATTTCACTCTCAATTTAATAAGGTTTTAGCTTATTACAGGTTTTCTTATCAATTTTATTGCACTTTATATAATTTTCTAATGAATTAATAATTATTATAGATTTTGGCTCTTAATTTCCATCAGAGACCTCTCATGCTAATCTCACGGGGTTTTGGGGTTTTGGGGCCTTAAGATTATCCTTTTAT